TGAGATAGAACCGTGGACCATGGTGTGACATAGAAGACAACAAATCGTTCAATCTAGATCCAAAAAGTTTATGCAACTAATTTTATCCCCATCCTTTCATTTATGCAACTAATTTTATCTCCTAACCTGTCAACTGCATCTGGAGACAATGAAATAGAATACCAGAAAGAAGAGGAAAGAAGGGAGGAACTAAGGGAGGAAAAGTGAGAACGAAAATAGGGAAAAAATGCGGGTCAAATGCATAAATGGTACACCTTAACTATTGATAATATTGCATTTTGGTACCTTAACTCTTAAATGAATCAAAACAGTACCTTAACTATACATAAATGTTTCAAATTGAGATTTTATTCAAATTTTTAACAAAAAAGTCCTTCATGACGATCAAAATTTCATGTGCAGAGTCATCCTATAGTGATCATATGGACAAAAATAAGGTAAAGTAGACTTTACGCATAGAATTCCGACAGCCACGTGTAATTTTTTGGTCGGAAATTTGAATAAAATCTCAATTTAAAACATTTTTGTATAGTTAAGGCACCGTTTTGATTCATTTAAGAGTTAAGGTACCAAAATGCAACTACCAATAGTTTTTTTTTTTTTTTTTTTGATAAATGCAACTACCAATAGTTGAGGTACCATTTATGCATTTAACCCGAAGAAATGCAAATAAAATAGAGAGAAAATTGTTGCATGCAAGATAGAGAAGGATTCCCGAAACCAAGCATTTTTCACCGGGTGTGCCGTGTTGGTCGGAGAATCGACGAAGAAGACAACCAGAGTAATGTTCAATGACTTCAATCCACTTATCCACCATATGCTTTGCCATGTTCTCTAGTTGGCGACCGTCGTCCATCGACACCCACAAAGAGGGGAAAGCTCCAAAGGAGATCTCCATATCTAGTAGAGGAAAATAAGAAAAGAAATGGAATGAAAAAAAGGGGAAATGTGGCTATGCGGAGGGACTGTGAGGATCGATGAATAACCGGTGAAGGAGCTGGACAAAATGAGTTGATGGAGTTCCCTCTTTTCATTTTATTTTACCGGTTGAATAAATTCTACGCCATCCGGATCAACTTGAGAAGATGCCTTATTAATTTGGGATTATTTTAGAATAACTTATACGAAGTATTTGGAATTAACATTAGAAGTAGGGGTGGGCGCGGTCCGGTCCGGTCCAATATTTGGCCGAACTCGTACCTGTACCGTTACTATTCAAACGGTTCGGTTCGGTCTTAGACCTAAACCCGTTCGGTACGGTTTCATTTTGAAACGGGACGGTACCATGCCATACTAATACCAAACAATGTCACTTTTTCCAAGTGTTTAAGAGACAATTAAAGTTTAGTCGTCCTCCAAAAATCTACACAATTTATCAATTTTCATACTCATTCCATCCCAAATTGACATGCAAAGTCAATATTTTTTGGTCAACCAATGTTAGACTTAAATTCTCTTTATTGATAATTAATTCAATTTGTAATAATTAAAATAAACATATTCAGAAACTACATTGAAATTTCTTCAAAGTTGCAAGCTCCAAATTAAATATAATTAAAATTTCACAGTCTAGTTAAGTGAATAAAATGAATCTGTTTGACAAAAAAAAGTTAATTTTGCAAATTAATTTGGGACGGATGTAGTATTACATAATTAATAAATTTCAGATAAATTATAGTAGTACAAATTTAAATGATTTAACCATACATCGGTCCGATTCCAGGCTTCCTATGAACTAGCAAAGACGGTGAAAATGTAAAGACACTAGTCAAAATAATGGTATAAATGTAAATTTAAATAATTAAATCATACTTCGGTCCGGTTCGGTCCGGTTTCGGTTCTCATTTTGTGAGAACCGGTCATGGCATTGTTTAGAATCGGTACGGTTCGGTTCGGGACAAAAAAATTGAGATCCGTTTCAAACCCCGTTTTTCGGTCCGGTACCATATCGGTTCGGTTCGGTACCATGCCGGTTCGGTATTTTTGCCCACCCCTAATTAGAAGTAGGGGAGAGCAAACCCGACCCTACCCGATTGACCCGATCGGATATATCCGATTATTTTTTTTGGGTCGGATAACCCGACCCGAATCACCCAAACCCGACCCGATTTTTGAAACCCGAGAATTAAGCGGGTAGCGGGTAGGGTTTCCAATTATGCTACCCGACCCGCCCGAAAACCTGAACTAGCGTAGTATATATACTACTTTGAATTATTATGCATGTTCAAATATCTCAATTATTGTATGTCAATTACCATATTTGTAAAACTATAACGTTGAATGTTGTATTGTTATGACTTTGAATGATATTTTGACCAATTGTCATTTTATTTATCACAATATCAAATGTGTATATCACCGTATATTATTATTTTACATGTTCAAATATGTAGATTATCATATTTATACAACTATTACTTTGAATGTTATGCTAGTATAACTTTGAATGATATTTTTACGAATTACCATTTTATTTATCACAATTTTAACAATAATAAATTAAAATCTGAATGGACCCGAAAACCGAATCGACCGAAACCCGAACATAACCCGACCCGAAAACCCCGATATATTTTTTTATAGGGTAGGGTTTGAAATTATCAATCCGATACCCGAACGGGTTTACCATTTTCGAACCCGACCCGCCCGAACCCGACCCGTGCTCTGCCCTAATTAGAAGACTGGTTAAAATTATTAATGTGATTTTTTCCTATAAGAAATAACAAATTCAAACTGAAATGAGAACCAAAACGAAATTATAAACATGTACAATTGTACATATACCAACTAATTAATGTACATATAAAAGATCATCCGTTCTCAAATATTTCAAACTTACAAATCACCGATTCCAACTATGTAGAGATTTATGAGTTTTATGTTATTCGATCACAAAAGTAATTGGTACAATCAAATTAATTTCTAAATTATACGTACATAGACTAATTGAGCAAATGATATTTTTAATTACAAGAATACATTAATTACGTTTTTTAATTTTTGATACGGAGTACATAGTATACATGCTAGTGACTAGCCGACCAACAAGTTGAAAGAAACAACTAGAGAAGTACACAAGTAATAACTAATCAAGTAAAGAACTAAGAAAACGTAGTAAGGAATAAGGATGTTTTTACTTGGACTGTATTTTCCCCAGATCAGACCAGACCAGATCAGACCAGACTTGGATAGTTATAAAAATACAAAGAAACCAGACCTTACCAGACCAGACCAGACCAGTTCAGACCAAACCAAACCAGACCAGATCAGACCAGATCAGACCAGACCAGACCAGACCAGCAAATTACAGTCCAAGTAAAAACATCCTAAGAGCCATACGAAGCTTAGAAGAATTAGAAGACTTCAAGATTTCTATAGTATCCGGCTTTGAGATTAGGAGCCGTGGCCGCCTGAGGATAACAGCCATCAAGGAGGAGCCAGAGCACCGAGTCGGATTGGACCGGCACAAACAATATTCTTAAAAAATGCATGAAATTTTTTACCTTAAAAATTAGGATTAATTTGAGTTTGCACCCCAAATTATAGTCTAAATTGGACTTTGCACCCCGTTTTTAAAAGTCTTTGTTTTTGCACCGCCAACCCCATTTGAAAAGACAAAAATGCCCCTCCATTAATAATTCTATTGACCTTCAACATATTCCTAATTGAGGAGCAATTTTGTCTTTTCATATGCAGTTGGGGGTGCAAAAATAAAGATTTTTAAAAACGGGGTGCAAAGTCCAATTTAGACTATAACATGTGGTGCAACTTAAATTACCCCTAAAAATTAAAGCATTTTTAAAATTTGAGGTGAGGACATAGATTGGCCCTCCCCTAGCTTCGGCCCTGACTAGAGAGTTAGAGAATAGAGATTGCTCATAAATGATAAACCCCATCCGGACTTTAGGAGAGTAACTTCTAAAACATGTGACATGTCAACTGATAGGTCCAGGTACACGTATTTTCAAAATTTTCAAAATTTTGGAACCTACTCGAACCTATTCTAGGTTTACCCGCCTCGCCCCAGCGCGTATTATTTTTTGAATAACAAGACCGCTCATTAGCCGTTCCGACCTGCAGTTCTGTGATCCCTTTGCCCGACCCTAGTTAAATCAAATCATAATTAGAAAGTCGAATTAAAGTGGAAAATGTGATCATTTTGGGCTGACCAAGATTTCAAGAGTTATTTACGTAGAGAGGTATTTTCTAATCTTATTTCCCAAAACATGATAGTTTTAAACTTATTTCCCAATTAGGGGTACTTTTACCTTGTCATCATGTCATGTCAGCACTCTAGCTAAATAAGATTTCCACTCCGCCAAATCACTAATCCAGGTCAGCACACTGCCAGGGGCGGAACTAGCAAGGGGCTCGGAGGGGCTTGAGCCCCTGCAGTTGTTTTTATTTTTATTATATATATATCAAATATGAAATTGTAAATTGTAAATATTTATAAAATATGTGTGTTATACAATAATAACCACTATGTTAACAAAAAGGCAATGCAGTGGAGTGGAGAAGGCATTGCATTCGTGTCTTTGGATTACCTAAGGTCTAGGGATCGAATCCCATCTTAATAATATTTATATTTTGCTTTACTTGTGTGTTTTTTAAGCTTAAAATTAAATTAAAATGGCTTTAAATAGCTATATTCAAATTTTTGTGATGTACCATTAAGCTCTCTAGTGCATGGGTATGAATCACAATTTTGCTATGCTAGTGCATGGCTTTAATTTCTTGCTTTTTGGTTTCATAAAAAATCTCATTTGATCTTGTATGTAATTAAAATTGTGATTTCTCAAATTACTTATCAAGATATTGTATTCTAGAATATAAAAAAAATGTAGTATATTCTAGATGGTGGATGCAACATCTTTCCGGACTTTCGGAGACCTTTGCTTTCTCATTAAGTGCCCCTCCAGTGTCTCTGAGCTGGTTCCGCCACTGCACACATGTACATGTATAGCAGTATCAGCTAAAAAGCGAAAAGCCGTGGCATATGGGAATCGAACCCACGCCTAAGGCTAAAGATTTCAGTCCTCACCAAATCTTCGAAATCTGGATATATGGATCTGCGCCATATCCGCGAATTTCAGCCATTGGCTTGATTATTATTCGATCCTCCGCCCGTAAATGGAATACCAGTACAAATCACTTCATATCGTTGCAGATTCTCGGGTCGCTATCATATATCTGAACCGACCCGAACGCCTCAACGCTCTGTCACGCGACTTCTTCACGGAGTTCCCAATAGCTCTTGCTTCGCTCGACGAAAGCCCCGACGTCGCCGTCGTCGTTTTAGCCGGTGCCGGGAAACACTTCTGCTCAGGCATCGATGTGGATGTGCTAGCATCGGGTTCAATTGTATCCCGATCGTTCGATCCTGGCCGCACCGGGGAGAAGCTCCGACGAGACATCAAATTCCTGCAGGATGCCGTGACGGCGATCGAACGGTGCAGGAAACCGGTGATCGCCGCCATCCACGGCGCCTGCATCGGCGGTGCAGTTGACATAATTACCGCCTGTGACATTAGGTATTGCTCTGCTGATGCTTTTTTCTCGGTGAAAGAGGTTGACTTGGCCATTACAGCTGACCTCGGGACACTTCAGCGGCTTCCTAGCATTGTTGGGTTTGGAAATGCAACGGAATTGTGTTTGACCGGCCGGAAATTTACTGCATCGGAGGCTAAGGAGCTAGGCTTGATTTCTAAGGTTTTTGCAACCAAAGAAGCCTTGGAGAAGGGCGTAAGAATTGTTGCTCAGGGTAACTTTCCTTTGCACCCAAATTTGAAAACAACCCAATTTGATTACTCCGTATTTAATTGGTATCTTTATGATAACAACATGAAACTCATGCTCAGACATTTTGGGATTTCCAATTCTTCTTGTTTACATTATTAGTTTAAATGTAAGAAGTTAAGAACCAAACATAAGCTAAACTATTATGCATATGCCTCAAACTCATATTTTCCTCATAAATATCCAACAATGGGAAAATTGTGTGATAGAGGATTAAGGATTTGAACTGAACTATACACAATTACAGCAATGGTAGAGGTGATGATTGAAGTTTGGCATTATAACTCGTTCGAATTGTGGCATAAACTTGACATCCACTTAGATTACTTTTGACCTGGGAGATAAGCACGTTTGTGGAGCCAGTCATTGAACATCTAGAGCATTCAAGCACTTAATATCTCTTTGGGCGTTTGGTAACACTAACATTGTTAAACTTATTGCTGAAATAGTCAAATGAGCTGAATATGCTAAGGAGTATATAATGAAAGAAAACTAAAAGAACTCACCTTGGAAAAAACTAGGTTAAGGTCTCTGTAATTTCAGTTCTAGTCACAACGTATGAACCAAACGAGGTGAAGATAGGGTCAAACCTTAAACAACTCACCTTGAAAAAAACTGAAATATAAAGCTGAGAAGTGGGCAAAATAGGTTAGGGAACTGACACTGAGATTTTATACACCGAGTTCACTTGAGCTAGCACTTTGATTGTTTATTTGTTCCAAAGATTTAGACAAGTTCAAATGGCTCAAATCATTTTGACAGGAATAGCAGAAAAGTCTCAACTCGCCATCATCGGAACAAAAGCAGTGTTGTTGAAGAGTAGAGATTTGACAATGGATCAAGCCTTGGATTATGTTGCCACTTGGAACTCCGGGGTCCTTCTATCTGATGATCTGAAAGAGGCAATTTCTGCACAAACAGAGAAGAGAAAGCCCATATTTGCAAGACTATAGAGTTTGAAGCTTACCAATCCTGCTATATCACGGGTAGGACTGGTGGGTACTTCCAACCAAAATAACACTTTCACATTGAGAGGGAATGAGAGATTACATATACTGAGAAATTTCACAGTTTACACTGGCGAGAGCTTCTAATAAAGTCCTTGATGAGGCCACGTGAAAATTTGCCTATAATTTGATCCTTGAGATGTTTAACAGAGTATCTCACCATTTCTACTATTTGTCTAGACTCTAGATTCACAACCAACCAGCCCGAACTGTTTTTTCATATGATATATTTTAATAATGAAGCACGGCGCATATATTTTTATAATCCGATAGATTCAATCGACTTATCAGTATTTTTTGTAATCTCAATTATGGGTAACATATATGAGGCATACATCAGCAATATCACTAGATGAAGAAATTTTTATATGCAAAATCTTAGACAATATCCAGATAGCGATATCATATTTCCAAACTTGTCCAAATGAAAAGAAATATTACGAATTAAATGAATGGTCTTCATCGATGGAACTACATAACCATCCCATCACCTAGCCTTGTTTCTTACCAGTCATCCTAGCAACTACACCATTCACAGCAGATAGAGGAACTTATTCTGATGATTCAAGTCTAGTATAGAAAGAGCCCGATGCCAGCGCTGAGGCAAGAAACAGCAACGACAGGTTCTGGGACTACAAGCATTTTCAGTTGATTCATGATCGTCATCTTTATGTTTCTTAATTCCCTCTCCTGCTGTTTGATTCCTCTCCGCCTCTTTGAAACACTTGAAATTCGTCAATTTCATTCAATATTTCAACAATTTAAACAGATTTAGTCAATATAATTAATTTCATGTTATCAAACAAGCGCATTATTTCACTTTATTTTACCCGAACTTCAACAACTTTAATTTTTAACCACTTCTTTTAGGGTTCATCTGGTAGCAGCTATTTTGAACATATAAATCAACTTTTTTACTAAACACGTAACTTATAATTTAACGCTGAATCGTGTAATGATCAAAATAAATAAAGTTTGAGATGCTTTTCTAATTGAATTTGTTTAAATTACTGTAGAGAAATAATTTAACCCTTTTCTCCATATACTTTTTTTATTAACACAATATATTTAAAATATCATTTCTCAATAACTCAACCTATTCATCTAATTCAACTATTTCAGTAAAAAAATTACCGATTTCAGGAAATTTGTCTGACTCAGATAATTTCAGTATTATCAAATGGTCTTTTAAATTTCATATATTTGCTTTTTGTTAACGAAAAACACACTTTTCAAATTGAACAATATTATTTTTTTTAAAAAATTGGAAAATATTGTTTGTCTTTAAAATTTCGAATTATGCCCAAAAGTTACATTCGAACATCTAAAATCTATATGCTAGATCCAAGATGCATAACTTTTTATTTGTGTGGGAGATGAAGCGAACACGATTGATGTTATTTTGACTTTCCACATGCTTCCCTTCCATCATCAAGCATTAATACTGAGAATGTTTTCCTTATGACTTAAATTTGCCAGTTTGGTCTGATGTGGTCTGATTTGTTTTGGTCTTATCTTGTCAGATCTGTTTTAATATAATTTGATCCGATCTAGTCTATTTTGATCTGGTCTGATCTTAGAGTGAAAACAATCCAAAAAAAAGAAAATGTTCTAAATAATAAGCCCTAGTTTGTCATATGTCCAGATAGTCATGGACCCGGGCCGGGCCGGTTCCGGGCCGGGCCCAGCCGGGCTTTTTTTGGGGGAAGGAAGGCCCGGGACCGGCCCGGGTGGCCACCGGGTCCGGGCCGGGCCGGGCCGGGCCTCCGGTTCGGTAATAATTTTTTTTTTTTTTTGCTTTCCTAACCCCCCCACCCCCCCAAACCCCCAAACCCCTCCTAACCATCAAGCCCAACTTGGCTAACCCCAAAAAAAGAAAAAAAAAATAAAAAAAATCAATTCAGCCCGGGCCCGGGCCCGACCCGGCCGGGCCGGTTCGCCAAATACAAGGCCCGAACCCGGACCCGCCCACCCCACCGGGCCTAGGCCCGACCCGGACCCGGACCCGGACCCGAGAACCGGGCCGGTTCCGGGCTCGCACAGTGGCGGGCCGGGCCGGTCCCGGGCCGGGCGGCCCAAACCGGGTCCATGCCTATGTCCAGACCAAGCAAATGATGATTTTTATGAGAGCATTGAATATGTGGATATAATAGAAAACACCGTTTGATTAATGAGACAATCAGATAAAAAGCAAGAATATAGCGCCCAATAAAGATGAGATACGAGAGTTTCAATCATAGTGAGTTAATCATGTGCATAGAAAATCAAATGATGCACATTTTTGACGAATTGAGAATTGGGGAGAAGATGTGGGAGAGTAAAGGAGAGGAAGATCACTCTATATAAGATTCCCATATTGTTGTCCATCATTTATGTGAATATATCATATACCCATATTACCATATGCAGGGGCGTATCCGGCGTGGGGGTAGGGGGCGGCTGCCCCCACTCAACCCCCACCCAACCCTTTTATACACATATTTTTGTTCTAAATAAAGTGGTCTTATAAAATAAGTACCAGATCTTTGCTATAATATGCTAGTGGCCGAGCGGAAGTAGGGATTCGATTTCTACTTGCAGCACTTTTTTTGTTTTATTTCGATCTTTTCTTCTGAAGCCTTAAGCAAATTTAATTCTAAGTGGTTTTACATTTTTCTTTTTATTTTTTTTTGTTGGAAAGATCTAAACTACATCAATATAATTACAATTCTAGTTTCACATATGAACTACTTTTTTAATATACTTGTGAAATTTAAATTTAAATTAATTCAAACTAGATACTTCTCCTTCCCTTAATTGATTCATTTATATATTGACATAATTTTGCACAAATTACAGATTCCATGTGATAGAATTATTTCTAACAAAGTGAAATTTAATTAAACATGAAATCATAATGTTTTTTACGAGAGAATATTTTGTTATTTATAATTGGTCTTACAATTTTTTTCTTAATCCGATTAGTCTAATTTTTTCTTTTTAATCTAAGGTAAATTCGCCTCTGTTGGCATATTTTTCTGGATACACCACTAACCACAGGGGCGGACCCATAAAATTCATCTTGGGAGGGCGGAACTTTAAACAAAATATTTTTTGGGAGTCCAAAAATTATTTTTTGTATGTATACACATTAGAAAAAAAATTGTTGAGTGAACGAAAATATATGTCATTGTTTAAAAATTTCAACCATGCAACTACACGAACTACATCTTTAAAAATGTCGTTATTTAAAAATGTACTAATATGTCGTTATTTAAAAACTTCAACCATGCAACGAAGTGAACTAAAATTCATGAAATGACATATTATGTGATACCAGGAGCATTCCTTGTTCACGTTGAGTAATTGAAATATCAAATTCAATAATTTAAATCTAAAAAAATGTGAAATGGCATGGTATGATTATTTGGAACAATAAAATTCATGAGAAATACATCACCTCATTATATTTTTAATAAGTAGAATGACACACGTCATAAGAACGTTAGGTTTCAAATTAAACTAACCTATAAGACAAGGTGAAATGTTTCTCAACTATCAAATAAATTTTATGTGATGGTTTATTACAAGCTCTTGATGATCTAAAATTCTAAATCATTGAACGCTCAACACATACATAATACCGTTTTTGTTACTTCTATCAAGAGCTTTATTTAGGCCTTGGTATTTTTGTCAAAAAACAGTTAATAAGGAATATTTACAAAACAGAATGATGGACACTTAGGATCGGATGACAAGGAAAATGGAAAAGGGATAAATTTTAATTTTTTATACAACTTTTTTGGGCAAATCTTTCTAACTTAGTATAACATATTAGCATCTATTGTGTTAAGACCATCATCCTTGAAATGAGATGAGATAAGCCTATGAAGTCCTCTTGGTAGCGTCACAACGATGCCATCAGAGCACAAGATATTTGACATTTTTTGATACATTAGTAACCTTACATTTGTAGCCCTTTCTACATCACTCGAAACAAAATTATTCACAATTTTATCATATACGGAATATGTGATTAAGTTCTACTCCATATTAAACCTAGAGGGTGTCCACGATTATGATTTTGATGGATCTTAAAAGATTATAAATTTTGAAATTCAAGAGGAATCTACAAGATTGTTTTTGTATGTGAAAATTCATCAAAATCCATTAAATGTTTTATCTTATTAAATGTAACATTTGATCTAGAAATCAAATGTGAAATGGCATGCTATGATGAGGTAAAATCCATTAAAATTGATTTGGTCGAATCCATTAAAATATTAAATTAAATAATTTAAATATAAACAAATGTGAAATGACATGGTATGATGAATTGGAATAATCAATTCATGAGAAATACATCACCTCATTAAATGTTTGTAACAACAAAAATCCACGATATGTGAAGTCACCCTTATAATCCATGATAGAATTATAAACTCCATTAATATCCCTCAGAATTCAAGAATTTACCGGTGGGCGTAGCTCAACTAGTAGCGAGGGAGTGACACAAGAGTTAGGTCTCGGGTTCGAATCCCGGCAACTACGATGAGGGGTAATATGCTGAAAAATGCATAGGGCCTCTGTAAATACCGGGGACAGAGCCCTACTCTCTATCTGTCAGATTGTGATTATAGTCCAATTTACATCCTCTCATGGTGTCGTCCGGTCAGTGTTGGGGGGCCATCAGGGATGGGGTGTCATCCTTTTTTTTCAGAATCCAAGAATTCAGGTAAGACAAAACATTCAATTATCTCCAAGAAAATCAATACATACTCCATCTCTATTCCGGTAGTACTGACCCCACCGTTCCTTCCCCGTCGCCAGAACTTAGCTCGACCCACCGGCCCGGTTGCCATTTTTTTGGACGCCGGAGGCGGCCACAACAATGCGCTGATCATTGTGCATGGACTTGTATTCAGTATTAGACAGCCGCAAGATGCGCAGCTCCTCGACGGGGAGGTCGTCGAGAACCGCCGTGGTAATCTCCCGTCCCAAGCGGGTCACCGTCCGGCGGCAGAGGCGGGCGAGTTCTTCATGCCTGTATGATATCCAGAGGCGGCCCGCCGCCTCTTCCATCGTGATCCATGTGGCCGGGTCGGTAGAACCCAGTTTCGGGTCCACAAGAATCTCCCGATAGAGGAGGCCAGTAGTGCCGAACACGGCCCTTATCATCTGGGCCCGAATCGGGGCAAAACGTCGGATGAGCTTGGGTTCCTCATCATAGCCGTTGACCATTTGACTCAGTTTCTTGACTCTCCGTAACTCCATTGATCGCAGTACAATACGAGTACTAT